ATGTTATTATTGGGACCAACAGGAGTTGGAAAAACAACATTTATTAATGCTTTTGCTAACTATATTGTTAATGATACTCTTGAAGATGCGGTCGAAGATGAAATACAAGTCATTATTCCTTCTTCGTTTTCTTATACTATGCCAGAGACTTTTGACGAGAAAACAATCACTATTGGTGAGGAGGACGATAATGAAAACGTTCATGGTGATGGCCAATCAAGTACGCAGCAATGTCGAAGTTTCGTTTTTCCAATCGGTGATCGAAATCTACGTATAATCGATACACCAGGCATCGGTGACACTAGAGGACTTGAACAAGATAAAAAGAATTTTCACGAAATATTATCTTATATTGCTCAATATGAACATTTGAATGGAGTGTGTATATTGCTTAAGCCAAATGAAGAACGTTTAACAATACTTTTTCGATTTTGTGTCAATGAACTTCTTCGACATTTACATGTCAATGCAAAGGAAAATTTAATTTTTATCCTTACAAATGCTCGAGCAACTTTCTTCGCACCAGGTAACACAAAAAAACTTGTTGAAAATATATTGCGCAATCATCGAGACCAACATGGCGTTGAAATACCATTTTCAATGAACAATACATTTTTATTTGATAATGAACCATTTCGTTACTTAGCGATACGTAAAAATGGTATTCAATTGGATGATCAACAAACACAAAGTTATACTAGAAGTTGGAATCATTCTGTCAAAGAATATAGTCGTCTTATGTTACATATGGTTACACGTCCACTTCATGCCGTATCTAATACAATTTCATTGAATGAAGCTGAACAACTTATTCGAAAACTTCCACGTCCAATTGCTGAAACAGCAAAACTTATCGAAGAAAATATTCAACTTGCTCAAGCACATAAAAATAAAGTTCTCACTAATCCTAAAATTGCATCAGAAGGAATACCACAGAATAATGCTAAAGTTGTCCAACTGAGATATCCACGAACAGTGTGTGTAGGTGAAAACTGTTGTCGAATTATTGATGTAGACGATGAAAAAAGAATTGAATATCTACATATATGTCATGATGAATGTTATTTAAACGGTGTCGTACAAGAAACACTATATGATCCAAAATTGGAAGAATGCACAGCAATGAATCCGGAAGATGGTAATATACTATTAAAAGTCTTTTTATTTCAGTATTTAGTTTCTCAGCACATTATTAAGTATTGGTAAGAAAATAAAATAGTTTATCTGAAGAAAATCATTGATGTACCACTAGTGAGGATATGCAGGATTGCTATTAGTCACACTGAGACCGAGAGCAAGACTGAACAGATTAGTGTTTTATCCAAATTATCTTATTTGGAACGATGATTTAAAACTCTGGAACAGCGGATACCTATTTTTGAGAGCGCACACACATAATATACAGTAGAAAAACTACAAACTCGAAAAAAGAGTCAACTCGATCTTCAGAGAGACGCCACCTGTCAGTCTGTATCCTGTATAAAATACTGGGACAGATACCGTTGAAAAATCTGACTAGATGATAACACCAAATCTTGTGTTTGGTCGTTCCTTTTCATATATAAACATATGTATTGCAAATATTTCATGTAAAAAGTTTTTGTATATTCGAGAAATAACAATATATATGCGATACATCGAAGTTACTTTATTCGCGTTCTCTAATAAACTCCTTCCTGCAATGATACTGTAGTGAACATAATCGAAAACTTCTTCTCTTTAGTTCTCGAAAAATTGAAATTTTAATTAGGATGCTTACATTAAAATATGCTGAGTTTTCAGAACTTCGAGCTGAAAAACTTACTAGACTGTACCCAACATTATTGCTAGACTTATTAAATTCTAACAATTCATTTGCCTTTCGGAAAACTTCTCTAATTAGAAATTATGAAAATAGATTGGCCACAAATGAAGACTTGCAGTCTTCTATTTCAAAGAGAGATTTATTTCATTGCATTCTACAAATATAAATATAAATTCTTACTCATTATTATTGCAATCGAAATCAGTCGACTTTGGAAATGATGAAAGACATTTTACTATGTAAAAGGCTTAGGTGCTATATAGTTCGTTTAAGAAAATTAGGTTTTTTTGTTAAAAAAAGGAATTTTTGCATTCGTATGCTATTCTTTAAAAATGTATTTTGATAAAAGAATGCGTTTTGCAAGCATAGAGAATAAAACTATTTCGCAGAATATCATACTATTTCATATAAAAAAAAATCCGTTTTAATCCTTGAGCAACATTCATCTTTATTCTCATGTTAGAAAAGAAGAGACAAACTTCCGATTCATGATCAGAAATTAGCATTGTACGATGATTGTTTCTTCCATGTTCCAAATACTGAACAGAATTGTTTTCATCATTCGATAGAATAAAGAATACTTCTGCCTTTCAATATGGAATGATGTCTAGTAATAGATTCAATAGCTCAATATCTTTCATACAATTAGGGTTACCTGTAATTCTGAACTAAAGTCAGACCGTATGTCACAATGTCATCTGCAACGATTGATTTCTATGTGAATGTATCACAATTATTAGTATCTTAATCATTAGAATGTTTCGTTGTCATCAGTAGTTCATCGAGGAAAAAAAATTAACGAATATGATGAAATATCTAATCTGACTGGGCTTATTGCTTTTTTTTTGACTGATATGAATATTCTCATGTGATTTTTATATGAACTCTATTTTGTTTATTCAGGTTTCTGTACAGTATGTGACTGTCATTGGTTGCAACATAAGCATATCACTTATGAATACAAAATAAGTCGTACTCATATAAATTCAAGGACAACTTCACACAGTGAAAGAAATCAAGAAGTTTCTCTGAATGATATCGATAAACGTATTAGTGATTTACGAGATGAAGCAGCAAAAATTCAAGATGTTTATAAACAATTAGCAAAATTTCTTCATGCAAATTCTATTCTTCCAATAAATGATGATATTTTGGAGTATCTTCAATACTTCATTCGTGAAGAACAGATGAAGCAGAGTGCCGGCGCTCGCAATGATGAAGTCATAGCTGGTCTACGAAAAACGATGGACGAATTTGCAAACAATATGGAACTATTTAAAAATGCAATAAGAGAGCAGCAAGAATCAGAAGATATGACAGATATTCTGAATCCTGAAGAAATTTTCGATCTGGTTGGTACTTTATATGATTTACCTATCAATGGAAAACAAATTCGAGAGCAAGTCGATGGAATAAGATTTGGTCAAGAAAATTGTGCTGTGCACCGTGAAAGAAATATTCAATTACCAGCAAAAGCTGCTTCATCAAAAGTTATGCGAGACTTAAAAGAAATTTTGTCTACAGAGTGAAAAAAAATAGAAATATTTTTAAAAAATTGTTCAATCATGAATGTATAACTTGAATGTAATTATCTAAATATATCTATTTGAAATAAATTGAAACCACAAATATATAGGAAACGAAATATTTCCAAAAAAAAAACATTGTAACAACTTGATATGGAACGCATCAATCATTGTAAAATCAAAATTTTCTTAGAATAATAATTCATTCAACAATTGCAGTATTTTGATGTAATTGGCTAAAATTTCAAAGTTATGTAGACGAGAAAAGTACAGTTTTTTGTCGTTACTGAAATAACTTTAAAAATACATGATTTTTCATGACTATGCTTCTGCAAGTGAATAATGATAACGAGAATCAGTTGAATTAAAAAATATTTACTGTCATCTAATTTTCTTTTATCAGAGAAAAACAATCCGTCAATTCATAATGTTCCTAATAAGTCTTTGTTCAATTTAATGTGATAGAAAATAGATTTTATTCATTATACCAATATTCAATGGTATAAATTTCCTGTGATATATCCAGCATATATACCATGAATATCAAATTATTTTTGCACATGTTAAATATTTGAAAAAAAAAAACAATAACAAGCAGGTAATTGAAAGAGAATTTCTTTTTGTGACGAAAACTAAACGGCGACTAATTCTCGATTTGAGAGGAAAAGGTTGTTTTTTGGTGAATGAATATGATGTTCAAAGAACATATTTTATTTTCAAAATGAGAATTGTTAGATCAGCAGATTTTCATGTAGTTGAATCATCGATGATCGCAGTTGAGCTTGAAAATTCAGCCATTCAATCAATTACCTCTTCTATTTGAAAATTAACAGATACATACCTTAAGTTCGTAAGATGAAGTGACACACAGTAGAAAGAGAACACTTCTGTGTGTCATTCCTATCAACGTTTGCCCAACGAAAGTCACTATTATTCACAACGTTGAGCAAATTCATTATTCTACTAATTTGGGATCTTCAACCACTATTTCACACACATAGCAGTCATTAATTGATCGTACTGCCGATCAAGAATCGACTTCGAATTGGTTTCCTAGGATTGTCATGTGACGACGACAAACTGAAGGGATAGCTTACCGTCATTCTCGATAATGATATATATTGAGCTACTCTAAATCTCCAGAATATAACTATCTCACATTTAATACAAGTTTATTGATGAGAAAGATAAATACACGAAATAATAAGTTGAGAGAATGATATCAATATCGGTACACAAGGTTTTTATAAAAAGGAAAAGGAAAGTTTTTTTTGAAAATTCTTTTTTTCTGAAAAAAACTAATATGCACTAACTACTTGTGAAAGTACATCGATATTAACAATTGATCTTGTATTCCGATTCTTCATCCTTGATTACCTATAATGAAATTTCTGAAGAAATCAGTAGGTCGTATTCACCGTCTGCTGTTGCAGAATGATCAGTTTCTATTGTTCGATCTGATGCTTGCTTTCTGTTTAGCTTAGACAAAATGCATATTTGATATTATTCTGCTTTATAACCGTTTCTCTCAGCATACGGAAAAAATATAATGTGAATCAATAAGATAGATTTAAAAAGAGCTTGAAAATTAGAAGTACAGTTAAACAGAAAAAAAAATAGTACCTTCAATGTAAAATTTTAAGTTTATAAATTATCTGTAAAGTTAACATTTACTCTTTAAATACTTGACATTTTTTCCAATGATTTAAATATAATTTAATCAAATTTGAATCAATTGATGGACAATTTTTTAAAATTTCACATTTTTTAACTGTTTTTACAGTTTCATATTTCGAAACTTTCAATGTATCTTTCTTACTAAAGATTTGTTCAAAGAAGGAAGATAATTTAATAAGTGGATTAGTTAAATCCTTTGTCGTTAAAATTGTATCAATAAATTCTTTTGGTGAGACAGTATCAAAATTTAAACCCGCTGCTCGAAGAAAATTTAAATAATCTTCATATGTAATAACATTTGGATTGAGAAGATGATAAACACGTTGATCAGCTGATATCGATATGTCAAATGATGATTTCAATGCTAAATCAACTAATGAAGCACTACAAACATCAACAGGTATCCAATTAATATCTTGTCCAATATTTGGCATTTGTTTTAATTGTCCAGCACCAGCATAAATCATCATAGGAGTCATTTCAGTTGTATTCCATACACCATTTTGTGTATCTCCACTTACTTGTCCGATACGATAAATATTGACTGGAACATCTAAAGAAGAATTGAAAAAGCAAAAAAATAATATTTGAAACAAATTTAAAATTTACTCCATAAATTCATTGCTGCCCAACATAAATGTTCACCAGCATATTTACTTTGTCCATATCCTTGTGGTAATGCAATTTCGGCATTTCTTGGTAATGGTTCTTCTTTAACATAACTCAATAAACCAGAACTAGCTGATGATATACTTGAAATAAAATGAAATTGCATATTGTTTGAAGCTGCTAATTTCAAAAGATTATAAATACCAAAAATAGAATCATATTCAAAATCTTTAATAGTTTGATTAAAATTCATTTTCCATGCTGTATGAATTATATCTGTTACTTCATTTTGTAATTCTTGATAAATTAAATCAGTTTGACCTAAATGTTCTTCACTTAAATTCATTGATGATGATAAAATAATAAGACGTGGTTTTTCTTGTTCTAATGATTTTATTAAAAGAGAAATATCTAATTGTCGTTGTTCAAATGATTGAAAGAGACGTTCTTTTGTATTTGAACCACGTAAAAGACAATAAACACGTTTAACAATCGATTCGGATTGTTTAAGTAAATCTCGAATAATAAAACTTCCTAATGATCCATTTGAGCCTGTGACAAGAAAAACACGTTCGGTTTTTTGATTTTCTCTTTTATTAATCGATGAAATTTTATTCGATTTCATTAAATCAATATATTTATCAATAATTTGTTCAGTTAATTTATAATGATATGGATCTGTTTGTTGATTTTCAATATTTTCACATTGAAGATATTCAATCAATTTTTCTATCATTTGTTCAATTGAAGAATTTTCATAGAGAAAATTTTTTGGTATTTCACAAATATCTTGACAAATAAAATTTCTTAATTCAACAACTTGTAATGAATTAACACCAAAATCAAAAATTGATCGTGAAGAATCATTAATATTCTCCATAATTAATTTCAATTTTTCTTCTAAATACTTTTTTATTGTTTCTTTTGTCCATTTTAATTGTTCTTTTTTATGAATAGTTTCATTTTTTTGTTGTTCTTGATATTTTTTATTTAAAAATTGATCATAGATCGTACTAATTAATATCGAATATTCTTGATTAACTCTTTGTCTTATTAAATTTCCTTTATGTGTAACAGGTAAAGTTTTGTTCATTGGCAAAATTTTAACAAGTTGTCGAACAAGACGTGAATGAGATGGTGCATCTTTATTGGCTTGTTCTATAATATCCCATATTTTTTCTTTGATTTCATCAAAATCATAATTAGATGCTTCTTCAACATTCAATTGAATTAATGCAGCTGTACAAAATTGATTATGACCTATAATAGCAACTTGTTTAATAAGAGGTGACTGTCGAATAATATTTTCCATTGGAAGTGGATTTGTTTTTTCACCAGTGATATGAACTAAAGTATCATCTTGACGTCCTACAATAACATATTGTCCAGAATTAGGTGGATCTTCAAGAAATATATCTCCAGTTGTATAACAACCATCAGAAGAGTTAGAAACATTTTCTGCTAAGAATGGATCATTTGGTAAATGAACTATAATTTTTTCATTTGGATTTTGTGCATTTTGAGGTGTTTCAATACGAAGAAAAGTTTTTCGAAGATCAGAAAGTTGCATAAATTTCCATTTCTTATTATAAGGTTTAATATTTGTCACAAGAATCATGCCAGTTTCTTGAAACAAAACAAATAAGATTGAAGAATAGATTTGAATTGAGATAATTTATGAAAGAAAATGAAAACAAATTTACCTGTTGCACCATAGGCACTTATCAATACAACGCCATTATCAACTAATGTTCTACATAATTCATCTGGACAACCAGCTCCACCATACATAACAAATTTCAATTTTTCTAGTGGTTTTAAGCCAATATTAGTATTTTTTTCAGAAAGTAATTCTCGTATAAGTTGCTCAAGCAAACTTGGTACTGTGACTAAGACTGTAATATCATTTTTAACTTTTATATTGCGCAATAATTCATCTGGTTTCGGTGGAAAGGTAACACAGAGCGGCAGTGCAAACGTGCATCCTTTTACAACAGCACGTACTGTTATATTAAATGCTAGTAAATGAAACCTAAAAATCGATACAAACCTTGTATTGAACTTGGCAGAAAAAACAAACTTACAATGCTGCCCATACCAATATGACATCGTCTTCGTGCCAAAAATCTTTATTGATAGATAAATACAAAGCTAAAGTACCTAGAAAATAACGATTTGTCAAACGAATAGGTTTTGGATGAGATGTACTTCCAGAACTAGAAAAAAAAGTAGAGAACGATAGATACGAAGAAATAATGATAATTGGAAAAAATTTAGTCAGATACTTTAAAAAATAAAAACTCTTACCTGTGAAGAATTACAATTACTCTATTAAATTCTTTATCTTTGTTTTTTCTCAATGTGATAATATCTGATGTCGTAGGACATTCGATATCTTTGTTTTTTAATAAGTCTTCAATTATAAATTCATCTTTATCCAAAAAAATAACTTTTAATGATTGAAATTGTTGTTGTTGTTGAATTATTTTTATCATTGGTAAATATTGAGTTGTTGTTAGTAAAAGAGCTGTCTTTGTTACTTCTAATAAATGTTCCACTGTTGCTTGAGAATTTCTGGCTGATATTGGAAACATAATAATATTGGGCAATTTTAATAATGCATACTGAGATAACAGATATTCTATGCCACCAACTGCCAAGAGACCACAGGTAATTGATTCATCCGATGAAGACCATGGTAAATATTTTGAAATTTTATTAGCTAGATTATTAACAACATTATTATATTGTCTATACGTAAGAGATGCATATTCTCTTGAAGCCTGATTTGGATCAGGATACAAAATGGCAATTTTCTCTGGTCTTATTTGAGCTTGATATTCAAGAGCATCGACAATTGACGAGAATGGAAGATTTTGTAATTGTTCCATTTTATTTAGTAGTTTGAAATCTCAAGTTGAGAAGAAGCACCCAAAACACAACTAATAAATTAATTACTACAACGAGAAAAAATTTCTATTAGCCATTGAATAAACCAGTCAGAAATTTCAAACTAACAAACCACTATTTTAGAGAACAAAATGCCTTTATAGTATCCCTAAGCATAATTGAACACGAACGATACATATTTCATACACTGATGATCACAATTGGAACATATGTCTGATAAACATATGCCGAAAACCTTACATGTCGCGCTAATACAAGTGATCTAGGGTCTGGTGAATCTGTAAGATAAAATGCACTTTAACATATACGTCACTTTTATTGGATAAGTTTCTAATAGAATATTTGCTGTTGATTTCTATTTATTAATCTAAAATTCATTGTGGGTTTAAAATAACGTTTTCTGAGAAAAATACGAAATCAGAGAAATTTATGGCGCCATCTATAAAAATTTTTTGCACTTAACTCAGAAAATATGGAGTTAAACCCAAAATGAATTTCAGACTAATCAATAGAAACAAACAACAAATATTCTATTAAAAATTTATCCAATAAAAGTGGTATGTATGTCAAAGTGCATTGTGTCTTCGATAATTTCAATCTACGAGACACGCTTTTCTCACAGGCTCGAAAGTCTAAAAACCGTAATCACCAACATTTTTTCTATCATTTTCCAGAGTTTTCGAAGCAAAATTTACAGAAGTGAGCATAAAAGTTATTGACTTGAGCATGAATCTTGAAGTATATAGCGAGAAAGGTGAACTCTCTTCATTCATCCTGCTCGACAGACACCTCCAAAACATCTGTTATAGTTCGCAGTGATTTCGAGGTATTTTTCAGTGTACTAATCTTGGGCTACTCAAAAACTGTAATAAACATAATGAATTGATTTTAAAAATTTGTAAAAACGTAACTTCTCACTACTGTCGCTATTCAATTTATGTCTTCTTACTAGTTGCGTTGGCCATAGCCATCGACAATAATATATCACTATTTAGACTAATATATTCTCTTTTACCTCTCGATCTCTGTATACTACTCTATCTTATCGGTTTTTATGACTTGAATGTCATTTCTGATTCTTTTCGTTTGCCCTTGGTCTCTCATTTTTTTTTCAATACGTCTCTCTACCTCGAAGAAAAAAAACACCAACAGTATGCTACTAGTTGAAAAGAAGAGAAAATGTTTTGAAAGAAAAGACGCATATATAGCTTATGTTTTTTTGGTGCTGGAACAAAAATTTTTCGGCATAATCCATGTGGAATTAAATTTCAAACACGATGAATCTTTTCTACTCGCTGCGGAGCAACTTGTCTCTGTCCATTATATTATCCATGAAGGTTAAATATACTAACCATTTAATTAGTCAATTAAGTTTAGCATTTTTGTACTGTTAATGATTAAGAATAATCATTTTCATTCTGAATATTGTTTCGAACAATTAAACTAATACAGAAAAACAAAACATACGAATTATCTACCAATCTCATTCATACAAACATCTCCTCTATTCCAATATAGTAGAAATCCTCTTTTGTTCTCGCTTGCTTCGAATCTTCTACATACTAATGAATATATTATGAATTATAGGTCCTATTATGTCAATCAGAATAATAATGAAGAAACTTACATTATATTATACGTGTATAATATTGCTTTGATTTACTTTTATTTTCTTGTCATTTAGCAAGTATTGTAATACACAGCTGCCGCATTAAATATAATTTTCTTTTTTCTTTTTCTTTCTTATCTTTTATGTAATTATGTCTAAGAGATAAGACTTAAATACGAAAAGAAAAGACGAAAACAAAAATTTACAAAAAAGCTTTCATTGGGATTTCTGTCGGATTAAGATGTAAAACATCATGGATTTATTCTACTCGTTAAGAAGTACCTTGATTATCTCCATCATATTATTCTCAAGGGTAGATTAGCTAAAATTTAGACATATCTGACACGGTCTTTGGTGCTACCTTATGACGAAACATTCAGTCTATAGAAAGGATTTGTGTAAACATGTGACTATACACGAGCATGCAAAAGTCCTTGATAAAATAGTGGATAGATTTAATTTGACAACTACCAAGAATAGTTTTAGCTTTAATCTTAATGACATTATATCTGTTGAGTGACGATAATAAACTGCTAAATATCCTAATCAGAATTGTTTCATGTAATGGTTCTTCCTAAACTTACGATTATATTTATTCACTTAGTGAACACATGAAATTAATTACAAAACTTTGCACATTTTAATATGAAAAGCGTTTAGTTTTTGAACTTCTCTTATGTCAATTTGCAGACGTTAATAGCCAACTTCACATGTTCATCGATTTAGAGAAGCTTTGTTCGCAAAAAGTTTTCTCTCTGGTTTATTATAAATTCAGAAGAAAAAATTTGTCAGAATTTCCTTGAGAACAAAATTCTTTTGCTTCTCAAAGAGTGATCTTGTTAGTATTTCCAATAACACAGACATTACGATTCTTTAAGTACCCGAAACGACGTTTCATCGACATATATCAAGTAGGTGATAAAGTGCGATTGTTTTCTGGATTCAAAACCGCCCACGAGAACTGATGTAAATATTTTCCGTAATAGAAATAAAAACTATGATTCCGTTCGATATACATATTTACACATCCGAATTGATGGTATTGAAGCAGACATGTAAAAGTAGAAGGGAGTTATCCCGCTAATACTGAAGAATTCTCATTTTTCTGCTGATGGTTAGGTAAAAAAATACTTGTTTTAGCTTAAAGCCTTTACTTAATTGTCTTCTCGCTTCTCTGAAAATTTCGGTTCTCGTCAGCCAATCTCGAGATCTCCATCGTCACACTGAAAATGTGATGTAGAATTCTTAACCAATAAAATACTCAGAAAAAGTGATCAATTAGTAGTACAGTTTAATGACATTGAAGTACTTTTCTAAATAGAACTATCAATAAACAAGCTTCCATAATTTATATCGTGTGACGAATGAGCAAGTGAGCATCTTGAAAATTCGAAAAAAATAACATCATCTTTCTCCTTGAAATGCAGAATTTCAAGATACCCTTACAATTCGATGATAAATGACTGTCCATATTCTGCAGTTTATTCCTCCTTTTTAATCTCAAATATATTTAAACCATCTCCAGCTCTCGTAAATCTTTTCAGACATGATCGACTGCAAATATATTTCTGTATGGTTTACTAAAAAACTGTTGTACCGAAGGCTTTTCACTGAGATGGATATAGTGTCAATGAACAAAATCCTCGAATCCACATCCCATACGTGGTAACTCACAATTTCTCGTGAGATTAAAGGACAGGTTTAGTCAAATCGGATATTTTTGAATAATTTTCTGTATCCTGTGATCATTAGACAAATCATCTTTCATCCAAAAAATGCCAATAGATACCAGCGTAATCAGTAATATGTAGGCTCTACGAGTAACGTGTTTGTACGCCTTTCATTGGTATCAAATTAAATATGTCGTCATCAGAGATGGACGAGGCGGTGTGACACCGCGACCCGTCCATCTCTGGTCGCCATTATCAAAATAGTACAAATGTTTATACCAACTATATAACGTTGGAAATCTTGTTAAAATCTTTTTCAAGTGCACACGACTGTAGATGACATGATTCATGCAGCTTTAACTAGGAAACACTATATATATGATTGAATGTTGAAATGTGAAATATATCAAATTTACAATAATGCATACGAACAATATGCAAATATTTTTTGTGCTTAAGAAGGAAGAATAAATCATCGATTCAAAAGAAATTCTTAGCAACGAACAACAAAATTTTACTTCGTAATAAGCTTCTTTTTCTGCTTTTATCGATGTTCAGGTGTAAATCATACTATCAGTTAGCACACACAATACAAGAAAAAGTCGTGGATCATTACCCAGAAAAGGAAGCAAGTTCACACCATCGAAACAATATTTATTTTAGCATTGAACTAAAATTGCGAAAAGATTGCTCTAGCACAGGTCTAAAGCATGTCATGGAACAATGATGAATTCAAGATTGTTCTCAGCGAGCTGTTTGGCAAATTGAAACTGCTACTTCCTAAATAAATGAATAGGAAAGAGTTTGTTTTTGTACATTCTCGAAAAAAGATACAACAAATATTGCTACATTTTGTTCTGATGTATTGCAGTGTGCATCATTGCTGACTATTGTTACAAATTCATACATCGCCATGACAAAAATAAACTGTATACCTAACCTCTTAAATTAATTCTCTATATAAGTACCATTTAGTCTCATTTTCATATTTCAAGTAGGATTTTAATTCTTAAATAGTAATGAAATGCCTAGGTGATGGGAGTTGTGATTCCAGATCTTCATGGCTACGCCCTTGAATTTCATTTGAAAAAGAATAGAGGAAACAATCACAAACGAGAAGCCGTATACAGAATTGTAATAAAATGTGTACTATATCCTGATCATTTATTGAATTTCCAAAACTCACTATTGAAACATTGATAAAAGTTCAATACTATTTCATCTGTCTAGCGTTTACATTTAAGGCTAGATAAAATGTGGGTGTAGTCTTAAGTGAAGAGAATAACCACCGTCACAATCACATCCTCATGAATAGAAACTGCTTCATTTATATAAAAAAAAAAAAAAATTTCATTGGAACGAGTCTTTACTTTATTTTTTTTTATTTAATAACTTTAAAGAGCTGAACTATTGAATGATCTTATAAAAAAAAATAAAAATGAAATACAGAATGTTTCTATTGTTTTTCATAAAATATATGTATATAGGATAAATTTAGTATTATTTAGTCAATAAATATAAAATCTATTACATATTTTGATGAATAATTGGATGTTGTAAATATAGATCACTTTTTGTTTGTTGAAGATTTGAAGTGCGACGTGAACCAATCCATAAAATCAATCTACAAGTATCTAACGAAATAACTTGTTTACGAATGACAAAGTCGACAAGTATTGTATTCTCTTCAATAAATTTCATATTATTAGTAATATTATCGAGAGCAATACTGGGTAATTCAATATTTGCCATAGTTAAGTTTTCAAGCGTGTTTAAAAGAAAAATAAAATCTTCTTTTGATTTCATCTTCATTGTTATTTCCTGTAAATTAATAAATGTTCGACAGAAAGCAATTAGATTCGTATTAGACACAATATAATCATCAGCATTAACAATCAATTTACGAATACGCATTGTTGTTAATAGACAAATCCATTCGAATTGTTTATCTTCTAACATTAATAGTAACCAATTAGCAGAACAAGTCAACGTCTGAATATTATCTGATGATTTACCAAGAATTGATGCAAATCTAATATGAGTAATTGGTAGATTATTATTAATAATAATATGTTCAAGTGATGGATTTTGTAAAATAGCCAAAATATTTGGATGAACAGGTTCATCTTTATTATTACCAGCACCATACAATTGAATAGAACGCACATTAGGACATATTGCTTGAGTCGATTTCGATAAATTCCACCATAATTCAATATGAGTAACATTTGAATATACGGCTGTGATTGTTGAATCAAGTAATATCTCATCATCTGGCCAATAAAGAATAGTGATGATAGGCGATTGAATAGTAGATAAACGGAAAAAACGACCACGATCTCGTAAACGACATTGAACAAACCAACCTCGGGATATCCAATATTGACTTTTGAATGGTTCTAATAGTTCAAGATGGTCAGGATTTGTTGGTAGTGTCATGGTTATATCAAAGCGAAATGAAAAAAGTTTTGATGGTAAAACTGTTTCCCAGCGATAAGCTTGCAAAAACTCCAACTCAGGATTAAGTGCTTCAAGTGATAATGAATGAAGTTCCGTCAAACTTCTAAGAAGCCAAGCAAAATTATCAAAAATTACCTAGAACAAATAACAACACGATTTCTAAATTCTTATAATAAAAATACAAAATTTCATTATAAATCTTCAAATATTTTCAGAAAAGTAAATTATATACTTACGTTTTGTGTAATATTTACGTTCAAATATCGTAATCTATGTAATATAACATTAGATTGAAAAGTATTTCCTATTGGTAAAGTATTTTGATTAATACCAGTTAGAACAGCAGTTAAATGTTTTAAATAAGGAAATCTTTGTAAAAACGAAAACAATACATTCATATGAATAAGATGAATATGCAATCGTTCTATGAATGATGTTGTTATATTCAATGTTTGAATCCATTCATTTGAAACTTCATATGGAAATGCTAAAGTACACAGTGACATAGGTAGTATCACATTTTCATTGATTAATTCATTTTCATTTATAGTAAATGGCATTAAACGTTTATATTCTCCAATTGACAAACATTTCAGTTGAGTCAACAAAGGAAAATGAGGTAAAAGAATTTCTACATCTAATTTAGTATAATCAATTAACTTGAACGATTCAAGTTTGGTAAATAAACTCGCTAGAGAATTAAATCGAGTTAAGAATAATGTAAGTTGACCAGGTGTTGATGAATTATCACCACATAATGTTAACGAGACAATACGAGTATTTATGTATGGTAGAATACGATTGCAATATAAATCAAATTTTATTTTTGATATATGAATAAAACTTACGTAAAGACAATGACATTGTTGACTGAACGTGAATAGAAATGGAAGAAATTCTTTTTTCTATGAGATTTTAAAATAAAACTTACTCGAGTATTGTATTAATACGTTGACTTAATCCATAAAATGCATAATAAAGATCGCATCCATCTAAATAATCACTTATTTCTACGATTAATTCAGGTGGAAGTTTATCAAACTTAGATAAATTCATGCTAATCGACTAGATTTGAATAATCTAAAAAATACCAATCATTAACCAATGATTTTTACAAAACTCAATATTCATTTAATTATTATTGTACATTAGCTATAATGATGTTTAGATAGTCATTTTCATGTGCTTTCAAAATCATAAACATAAGCAAAATCTAAATAATTAGAAACAAAATCTTTAGAAAATAAATGATCTTTTATGCTTATTGCTTGATTGAATATGTGATTAATACATATTTATTTTCGATATAGAATACAAAATAAGTAACAAACAAATGAAGGTAAATAGGTGTTTCTTTTCGTTTGCTTAATCGAAAAATAAAAATAAAAACAACGACAACGACAACGTAATAGAAGAAAGAGAACATCCGATGTTTCGAATAAAATTGTATATAGGAATGAATAATCGATAAGAATAAAATAAAATAAATGCACTACTTATTTAACAAAAATCTTCTTTTTTTTTTGTTGAAATACTTCTTAAACATGCCATGAAATGAACTAATATACTATGTAATCATGAAAACAAATCTATCAAGAAAATATTCTACAAATTTTTGATAAAAAAAAAAGACTTTCTTAAATTACATCGAAAATTTTTATAAAAATCGTCAAACGAGTTCAGATGATATGTAGATATGATAGAAATAATGAGCATGTATCAACTGTTATCATTCGATGCCAGTTTATTTGCCTTAATATCGACAGAAAAACAACTCGCAGAGAACATTCCTTTTTACGTTCTTGTCCAGATAGTAGATAAAATACAAATAGCATTTCTTGACTCGTCTTGCTGACATCGACGGAGGAAAATTGTTTAGTAGTGTTTTTTTCTCTTGTCATTGGCAGAAATATAACGGAAATAATGTAGATAACTACCCTAGAGAATGTACTGAGTTAAGGGTACCCGAAAAATTACCCCGTTACCAGTATGTCACAGGAACTTTTGGGTACCAAAGTACTTGTAGGTACTTTCAGATACCTAGGTAGTACTTTAGCAAGTACCCTGCTACAAAATGCACAGTAATTGGTTACTTAAAGGTACTGATCAAATACCCAGTTATGGGTACTATTGCATAGTATTTCTAAGTGCCCTGTTACCAAAATTCCAGTATGTTCAGGATCGAACCTGATCTTTGATTTCTCAAAATTTTTCTTTTTCTCGAAGCAATTTACTAGATTTTTTTTGACTTTATTCAATTTAATTTTTTCAATTCCGAAAACTTAGCAGGTACAATACTGGGATCTGACCCGATTTGAGTTGGTCGCAGACCACTTCAGAGTAGTCCGATCCTAATCTACGATCAAGATCGNTTTCATCATTCGCAGAGAAAAAAAAGACCGAAGACGACAGCAAATTTACACGAGCTTCATTCTGTGTGTGGTTTAGGTGTGTAAATGTGTAGGTGGGAGTATGTGTCGGAGTGAGTTAGAGTGTTGCTGTAAATATTATCTTTGTCCACACCCAATCAAAACAATGCGTGGAAGTAATATATCGACATTTCTATACATTTGGATTGGTAACACCTAAAGAATATGAAAATAATATCAACTGATTCTTCTCACCTGTTTCCGTGTTGTAAAGGATGATTTTCGAGAATCTAATCTGAGGGTGGGTGTGGGTGTTGGTGTGAGTGTGAGTGTGGGTGCGGGTGTTGGTATGAGTGTGGGTGTGGGTGTGGGTGTGGGAGTGGATGTGGGTGTTGATGCAGCAATGGACAATTGGACCAGGCGATGGGGGAAATTGTTCCACTTTATGAGGAAATGATTCACTCAACATAAACTCATACACATAAAGGAAAAATGGAAAGAAAGAATAAAAAAATATATATATACATACAATCTATTCTATGATATTGTACATATACTTGAATTTAAAGAGAAATGGTTTTTCTTTCAAACTAGAAACACTCCTTAAGCCGAAAAAACAAAGTGATCCACGTCTCTCTCATTCTCTTCCACTTCTGCTTGTGAGTGGAGATATGAATGAAGCATTTCTCCTTAAAAAAACTGTTTTTAATAGAAAAAATTCATTTCTACCGGAAACACCCCTTAAGGTGAAAAAAGTAAAATCAACCATTTCTGCCCCAGTCTTGTCGACTTCCGCTTGTGAGTGGAGATATGGATAAAGCATTTCCCTTTAAAAAATAACTGTTTCTTGTAGAAAAAATCCATTTCTACTAAACCCCCTCCCATATTAGAAGCCCCCCGGGGCTTCTATTAGGCCTTGCAAACTTTGGCTGGATTTTGCTGGGAAAAATTGAAAATTTTGCTGCATAGATCCTTTAAAGGAGGCTTCTAATAGGAGCAGGGCTTCTAATATGACAGGGGCTTCTATTACGGGGAGGGGTTTAGAAACACTCCTTCAGTTGAAAAAACAAAATAATCCATTTCTCTCTCACCGTTTTTGACTTCTGCTTGTGAATGAAGACATGGATGGAGTAATTCTCTTTTTTGTTGTTCATTTTCTCTTGTAGTGATGTGGTCGAATAAGGGTAGTGTGTTTGCAAAAAAAAGCGTTTCTTTCTGACTTTACGTGGTTGAAGCATTTCAGCTTGAAATGGAACATTTCCTGCTTGATAGAGAGATATGGTTCAGTTCTCCGACATCTACACGAGATCGTTTGGAAGAACTGAACAAAACTGCTTAATCTGTTTTTTTATATCATTGGAAAATGCACATAGAATAACTTAAAAAATGATGGTTTACAAATGCGTCGCTCATCGGCATCTAATATGCACGTCTTCTCTAGAGATTGTTCACTGTACATTGTACACAAATATCAGAAACTCACATTCCAATTTTGTTGTCAATTGACAGTATTTTATGAAATTTCTACGATGTGTGGGGAGGTTATTATTGAAGGTGAAGTGTTTTATTTTGAAAAAAAGTCGATACTCTCTTGCTCCCGTTCTTCTCTTGAAACATACGGCGATGCTACTACTGCTACAGCGTCTCATTATTTCGTTTTCAGGTAATTACTATTTTTACCAAATTGTTTTTTTCGTCGTTTTCAAGATCACTAAATAAACAAATAATCGGCAATGAGTCTGAATCAAATATGGCAGTTTTGATATGCAACATCTTACTTAAATTAACAAGTTTGCTTCCAGCTTAGTTACGAGTGTGGGTGTGGGGTGTGGGTGGATGTGGGTGTGGGATGTGGGTGTGGGTGTGGGTGTGGGTGTGGGTGTGGGGTGTGCAGTGTGGGTGTGGGTGTGGGTGTGAGTGTGGGTGTGGGTGTGAGTGTGGGTGTGGGTGTGGAGTGTAGGGGTGAGAAAGTTATTATTATTTTTTTTTGTTATTATAACAATAACATTCACTTTTTGATTCAAAAACATTAATGAAACAAGTGTAAGCATAGTTTGTGCGTACATCAAAAAATCACTTTATTCATACAGTATCTTTATTACCATTTGATATAAGAATCAGTCGTAAATATTTTGAGAAATCATAAAATAACTTTTTTTGTTATTGTTATTGTTATTGTTATTGTTATTGTTATTGTTATTGTTATTGTTATTATTGGATAACAATAACAAAAAAAGTTATTTTATGATTTCTCAAAATATTTACGGCTGGTTCTTATATCAAATGGTAATAAAGATACTGTATGAATAAAGTGATTTTTTGATGTACGCACAAACTATGCTTACACTTGTTTCATTAATGTTTTTGAATCAAAAAGTAAATGTTATTGTTATAATAACAAAAAAAAATAACAATAACTTTCTCACCCCTACTTTAGACATGAAAGTTTGAGATGAAATTTTAATCATTTTATCGACTCATTGTGGTCAACTATCGTTTAAAATATCAAGGTAAGAAAACATATAGTTCGTGAAAACGAGAAAAATGAATGTCAATATATCACGCGAGATTATTATGTGCATAACTGCATCACAACTAAAGCCGAAGGAGATACACAATATATTAATTCACTTCATACTTAAGGAGCTATCAAGAGTCATGCGAATTAATACTAGTATTGAATGAAAATTGTTCGTTCTCTCGTTTTGCGGAATTCACATATATCTTCGAAGAAAATAGTGAGTGTAAGTTTTAAGTCAAACAAAGCAAAAAATCTCGAGTTGACACATTCAGCACGACAACTGAATTTTGGAACTTTATTTCATATTTTTTGTTAACAAGAATTAGTACAAATTTCTAGAGTTTTGTTGCAAAATGGCTCAAATTATAATTTTGAAAAAAATAATGAATATCATTAAGTGAGTTAATTAATATATATAATAGTACGTAAGATCTGCTATAGATATCATGAATATGTACAACAGACTTATTTGTCAATTAACTCAATGATTATAATAATAAAAATGTTAAATTAAGAAAAACGAATTTAAAAACTGAAAAATAATGAATGAATAGTAACAGTACAAACAAATATAGAACTAGAAGAGAAAGTAAAAACCTTTTCGTTCAAAATGCAGACATTAGAGATGTCCTTACTCCTGTAATCGATTATCCTGCAAAACACCTATAGTCCACCAGAAATTTTTCACTTCACATATTTTGTATTAATTTAATGACGCTAGAGAACGTATGTGAGTTTTACATTTGAGCCTTAAAGAGACTGTGCTAACGAGCTTTTGTTGGTCAAACGAGCGCAAGAGAACAAAAGATAATGTGACGTGTGCGTTAAAAACAACGCGGTGTTGAAGAATGCATATATGTTGGCGAAGAGAAGAACCTGTTGGCTCTTTTTTTCGATGAACCATGAGGAGAGAAAGGAAATGCATTGTTTTTCAAATCGCTGTTTAAGTCACTGTATAACTAGTTCGGATATATTAATGTGACGCATGGATGCATCGATTTGCGTTGCTCGTTATGTTTTTGAAACATTCACGAAATAGAGAACCGATCATTATACAGTGGCGAACGATTCTCATGGAATCTTTTTTTTTCTATATATCTACCCCTATCTATCGTTCTTCTCGATCTCTCCACCTCGCTTTCTCGTCTTCTCTCTTCATTAATCGT